GTCTCACATGGCTGCATGTCTAGGTATGTTCTTCTGGATGACTAAATCAATACTTGCTACGTTAATTACCAAAGCAGCACAAGCCCTAGTCCAGCACCACTAGGCACTATCATTCATATCCCCCTTTATGGGCAAAGCAGGAGAAGTTGCCTTACTGTGGGGAATGATGTTTTTAAAAAAAAATAGTGGGGGGGGGAATGTGCTTGTTCCACTGCTAGACCTTTGAAGAAAAATACATTTAAACGGAGGAAAATAAAACAGCATTGCATTTGTAAGAAGAAGACAGAATTGTTTTGGTTGCAATTATGTCACAAGCATCTTCCAAGATGTGTACCATGATACTAGTGTAACCTTGTAAGGCTGTGGTTCCTGTGGGCAGAGGAAAGTGCATCTCCTACATCAGTGGTTGCCAATTCGTGGTCCACGGACCCCAGGGAGTCCACATAACCCATGCAGGGGTCTGCAGCACCATCCACATAACAAAAACTACCGCAGAGATATTAAAAAATTCAAAGTAGGGGATCCATAGTATTTGGGTAATTGGGAACCACTGTCCTACATAATCTGTTGATGAAAATCTGCTCAGTTCTGATTCGCTGTTTTCTTGCCCAGATGTTCACATAGCCTTAAATCTTCTGTTCTTCTGACTGAGAAGCAACAGAAGTGAATTGGAAAACAATCAGATCAGTTTTAAATGGGTTACTGTGGCACAAAACTGTGACACTGCATGCGTTTACAGAAGGTGCTTTGTCACAAAAGGATTGCAATGTTTTCAGAATACAGATACCTCAGTGATACAAAATGCTCATTGCTGTGGCACTGAAAACACTAAAACAAGCCCTGGATGAACTTGGAGCTGAGTTGTCTAAGTGGTTTTACCAAATTCCTCATTTTTGAAATATTCCAATCTGCTAGAGGCAGAGCCACATACTCCCCACCTGAATTTTGCTGCAGATAAAATTCAGCAGGTAGCTTGGAGAAAGAAGTACCACCTTCCCTAAACAGCGCATCTGCTGCATGGAATTTGCTTGCAAGCATGTCACATGCTTCTACTGGATAAGTGATGACTGACTAGTGATTTACTCTCCCTCCAAGCAGACACCAATTTGTGAACTTTTCAGCTGTTTATTATTTTCACTCTTTGAAGGCTGTACAATCCCTTGCTGTACAGCTCCAGCAATTGAGTAGTCATCTAACCATTTTTTTTAAAAAAGTAGCAAATCCCAGAAAGGCTACACACCATTATTTTGTTTAGCTGAGTTTTTAAAAAAATAATCTTTGGATGTTGTGTCCTTTCCCTCTCCTACATATGTCTACCTCCCTCATTTCTAGAGTGCGCAGATGGAACATTGTAAGAAGGTGAGTGGGGAGGACTTGCAAGAGCATCATAAATAGCTAAATATACAGCTAGGACTTTGTTTGACCGTTTGTGCAGAAAGACCCTACAAAACTATAGAAGCACAGGAGACTGAAGGCACTGCTTTGTCTGAAAGGAATATGCTGATGGCTCTTTGGCAGATGGCTCATGGTTATGGAATTGAAATCTCTACCAAAAAAACATGTTTCAGAGAAAAAGGAAGCTTTTACCTGAAATGCTAAAGTTAGTTCCCTTTCGTTCGGGTTTTTCCTCAGTTGTTTAATAGAGGAAGTTGTCATATAATCAGGTCAGATACTTGGGTCCATCTAGCTCAAGTCTTGTCTGCTCTGACTAGCAGGAGGCTCTTCAAGTTCTCAAGCTGAGGTCTCTTGTATCACCTACTTGACCCTTCGGGGATCTTTTGCATGCAAAGCACAAGCTCTTCCACTGAACCATGGGCTCTCTAAATATGTCAATAAGCATTCTGAGAAGAAGTCAGAGCTTCCTTTCTCCAAAGATCCAAAATGAGAAGCAGATTCTAGATACGATCAAGGCATGCACACTGCAAGTCCAAAAAGACTAGAGCAGACTTAAGAAGCTAAATGTAATAATCTGAACAGTATCACTTGACACTTCCCCAGGCTCACAAACACAACATGTCCCTGTCCCCATGTGACTAGATTTTTCCACTTGCTTCTCCAAAATATCTCTATCACACACGGAGCAACTTAACCAAGGAACTGAGATTCAGTTGGAGCCAAAGTCTCCTAACTTCATAGGCTTGGTGACACTAGAGGCTCATCCATGATTCCTTTTGCCCTGCCACTTCCCCACCAGGGAAAACCCATGGTTTAGCACAGAATCAGAACAAACATCAACCAGGTCTTCCACAGATTGCTGTTTGTTCCAATTTAGTGTTAAAGAGCGGGTTTTCCGAGGGAAAGGGACGAAGGGACAAAGGCAAAAGTGCTCAGACTCATGCTTACAAGCCCTGTGGCAGCAATCTACCCTAAGGCCACTGAACATTGATCCATCTGTGATTACTTACATTCAAGCACCACCAAGCATATTGCTCTGCCAAAAACATCAGGCCAAGTCTCTGTGCAACGTACACGTGAAGCAGCTCATAGTGCAATAGAAGATTTTCATCTGATGCAACATACAAGGTGCCAAGCAGGCAGAAAGGAGGTCCTCGCTTCTTTTGAACTTCCTGAGTTACCAGTGGGACTGAAGAAATGTATAGCATACAATTCAGCCACAGCTACCAGGGGCTGGTCAAGGACAGATAATGTCAGGCACTAATGGGCTGGACCTGCAAAGCACCACAATTCCTAAGTGACTGGAAGGATGATTGAGCCCTGACCAAAATGCCCTGAGACATTGAAGCACTGATGGTAGGCATAAAATCTAGTTACTCTGAGACCTGCCCAAGACTGCCTGGAAGAGTGAGGTGCAGAGAAGTTAGGCTGCAAAAAGAAACAGCTGGTGATCTTATCAGTTCTAGGAGATAGCAGTTGCCAAAACACTCAAATAAAGCTGTGAAGTAAGCCAAGGCACACACCTTCAGAACTGATAGAATTTCTCATTCATACATTGTTTGACAATAGGGGGGAAAAGAAGATTCCTTGCTGCAATGTCTCCATCTTAATTTGAATTGTATAAGAGGGTGTCCAGGATAGGAAATGCAAGGTCAGGAGAGTTGTGTATGCTTGGGGTGTTCCTCACCACGTATATAAGTCCATGTGCAAACTACCAACTTGTGTTAACCACTTAAAAGTAGCAGGCCACAAATAATAGCAGTTTTTCATGGCATTTTGATTTGCAGTTGTTACTGGAAATAGGCGCACCAAACATTTGCACATGTAGTGGGAGAGTGACACATACATTCCAAAATAAAGAGGCATAAGTGAATGTATGTATGTATTGTTATTATTATGATTAATTTGATTTCTTACTCGCCCTTTGCCATAAGGTCCCAGGCCAGGTTACAGCAATTTTAAAATACAATATTAAAATCAGTTTAAAACAAATGCGCTCAGAATCACACTAGAGTTTGCACTAGCTTAGCTGAAGAAGCTTAATCAAACTGGTGCAAAGGAAGATTCTTTGAGCTCCTTTCAGGGACAAGGAGGGCTTAGGGACACGGGATGGAATTTGTAAGGTTCTAAAAAAATGTATTCATTTGTAGCAAAGTTACTGATGTATGGCATCCAGCATGAAGGGGCCACAGATTGAGCTGCTGCCACCTAGATTGATGGGCTGTGGCCTCAGTCCTCAACTACCATACACATGGGTGGTGGTGGGAAAGCAAACATGCAGCTGGAGATACTTTGCAAGATTTTTTTTCTACAGCTAGCAGTGGTTTTAAATGGAAAGACAGCTTACCCATTTTGCTAGGTGAATGATGGCAATGGTTTGAAATATATCGAGGTGCACACATGCACTCCATAGGGCTACCCAGGATGACAGTCAAAAAGATTAAAATGGAGGATGGACACAAGCCAAAATTAGCCATCAACAGGCCGAGCTTTGGACAACTCAGACTAAAGGTCTAATCGAAATCTAATGGAGTGTGCATTTTGAAAGCCGTCAAAAAGTTAATTAAGGCTGCCATTATCCCACTTGGGCTTCTGACTTTAGCAAAAGCTCTGCAAGAGCAATCACATTATCCTTCCATCTCTCCAAAGAATTGATACAAAATCACCACCCATCGCACCACACTGCTAAGTGGTAGCACCGCACTATCTTGCAGGGTCTACTGGATATCCCTGCCCTGTACAGTGGTACCTCTGGTTATGAATGGAATCCATTTCGGAGGTCCGTTGACAACTGGAAACAGTTCTCAACCTGAGGCGCGCTTTCGCTAATGGCGCCCCTGGCACGCGATTTCCACTCACAACCTGGGGCAAAGTTTGCAACCAGGAGCGGCTACTTCCGGGTTAGAGGAGCTCGTAGCGGAGCATGCACAACCAGAGGTACCACTGTATAAGGAAAGGAGCCCCAATATGGGAGTCAGCATGACGACAGGAGTTTTATTTATTTAGCGAACTTATATCCCGCCTTTAAGAAAAAACAGTTTCTCATAAGGCGGTGGTTAAAAAGGAACGGGGGGGCACAGTGAGGCTTAAGGGATGTGCTAGTCCTCAAGAAGAAAAAGAGATTAGCACCAAGCCTTGGTTAAAGCTGCTTCTCAAACAGGACAAGCTGCCACCCAGCCGTCAACACTAAAATCACATTGTTGCATAAATGCTCAAACTGGATCTGCAGGACACGTAGTATTAAAGGCACAGGGCCCTGAGATACACCTGCAGGGATCTGAAAGGCCATAAAGGGGCCATAAGAAAACCATGATCATCCCGTGGTCACGGCAGAGGAGGCAAGGCTGCTTGGGGGTGGGGGGGTGTTTGGCAAATCAAGGCAGAAGAGAAACTTGGGGGTAACATTCCAAAAGCTGGGGTGAGCTTTGTGCAGAGCAATTCCTACCCCACGCGCGCACACAAACACAATCTCCTAGTTCAGGAGGCATCTCTGTTCAGTCTCATATGCCCTTTGTGTAAGCCTGCAGGGATAAGGCAGAGGGACGAATCTTCAGAAAACAAACAATATTTTGACTCCAAGTCTTTTCTGCCTTAGAAGCTTCTCATCACAGCATATCTGTGTCCTCCATGCTGAAGCTGCTTCTGCGACTGCTAGCCTTTGAAGCCTCCGGGGACACGGCAGAGAACAAGGGGTCAGACGCCATGGGCAGCATGGTATCCTCCATCAGCATCAAGTCCAGCTCCTTCTTGGACAGGGAAGGGAAGGAGACGTTTTGGCTGGGGTCCAGAGGGTCGTGGAAGCCTCTCGAGTTGTCGTCAAAGCTCAGGCCGTGAGTGAAGTCCAGCTGGTGGTAAGGGGACTGAGGAGGAGCAAAGTGAGGCTGGTGCTGCTGAGCCTCCTGCTCAGGGTGGAGTGGCGGCTGTGGTGGCGGCTGGATCTCTGTTGTGTCCTCTTCTCCAGGGGTTTCTTGCTTCACAACTTGCTGAGCGAGTTCAGCCATGTTCAAGCCAGAAGGCGAAGCAGTTGGAAGGCCATGGACTCGGGCCTGCATCTCCAGCTCCTTTAGGACAAGGCACACAAACATGACAACAGTCCAACAGGTGAGCAAGCAACAAGATCTCCACCCACCCAAAGTTCCAGTAGGCATTACTAATGGCAGTAATGCTTTCACGTGGGTGAAGGCCACAGTAAGAATCAGCTTTGCAGCCAAGGTTGAGAACCTCTTTCATCTATTCCCTGAGCACAAGATTATGAGACAGGGCTACCAACTGGAACGGGGGGTAGGGATGAGGAAAGTGATGGTTGAAGGAATGAATGGGTAAAAGGAAGGCAGTTGCTATATGCACATAAGAGATTTAGGAGGTGCGAGCACAAGACAAAAAGATGGGGACTCACCTGTATGCGGAGCCAGAGCTGCTTATTTGCCATTTCCAGGTGCCGAGAATGATTCTCAAGATCTCGTGATCTTTGCAAGTCTTTCTGCATCCTCCTGATGTAATCAACAGAGGCTTTCAGGATTGTCCCTTTGTTCCAGCGCACATCCCTGGAAAAAGACATAGGAGCAGAATGTTAAGAGAATAAAAGGATGATGTCCAGATTCAGGAAAGTTCTGGAGGCAATTATGCTCAGAGCATAATTAGTGTTGAAACACAAATGAAGGGGGGAAAGCTCAAACATCATACTAAGTTTTATCTGCCTCTAACAAATCTTTTCTTTAAGGCTTAAAGAAGTTTGGAATTTTAGCTGAGACAAAAGGTGTGTTGTGAATATTTGGGAGGCAGAAGTGAAAGTAGTGTTTTCAATGAATATGGAAAAATGATTTCCCAGAAGGCTTTATTCCCGTTGCCTGTTTCAGAGCATGAGGCTCTTCAGGAGGCATTAGGATAATTGAACATTTGAGCGCAACTTACAGGTCTCCAGCTTTGGGGATCAGCATTCCTAGTTCCTTAATGCGATCATTGATGTTGAACCTTCGTCTTCTTTCAACTAAGAGAGAAACAAAAATAGTGGGGAAATGGAATATTTATTAAAGTATACAATAAAAAATGAACACAAGGGTGCCAAAATAAATGAATAAATATCATCTGATGAAAGAAAGTATGAATCAATTGAGAACTGTATCTAATGTTGCCGTTCCACTCACTCAAGGGAGTTCCACTTATGCAGCAGAACTTCCCCTCCTCTCCCTTGTAGCACCCCCACACCCTCAGAATCTTTTTAACAGGTTTGGGGGACCCTCTGGAGTAGTTTTGGGAGGTATGTGGGGGAGAGGAAAAGGAAGTCTTATTGTGCAAGTGTAACACTGCCTGTGCTGCCTTGGATAAAATCCTAAAGCTGCATATATTTGCATCCAAAAACACACACACAGTGACTGTGTGCATACACATTTGCAAGTATATGCAGTGTGCATAACAACAACAACAAAAAAGCAGTTTTGGTGTAACAGAAAGAAGGTCATAATTAGAGACAGAGTTAGCCAATAGGATAGAAATAACTTGCAGTTCAGAATGCCTTTTTCTGGCTGGCTGTTTTAGCTAATGGATCTGTCTGTTTGGAGTTAATATGCTAATTGCTTTCATTTATACACTGCTTGCATATTTTTAAATAAACCAATACAAACATTATACTACATATGACAAGCAATTTCTCCTCCAAAAAAATCCAGGTAACACCGTGACTAAAATGGTTATTCCCCAGATTGGCAGCATGGCTTTCTTTCTTTATCCCAAGAGCAGCAGCATCGAACTGATTATCTTCCATTCTTATAGCTAATTATATTAAAACAGGTGTCTGCTTTTGAAATGAAATGTAAAAAGAAACACAAAGTTGCAGTTGCTGATTTCTTCCAGACCAAGGCAGCATAATTACACGAATCCATGCTTTAGCAGTGTTGGAAATAGCTGCCCACCTCCAAACCCCACGCCTTCTATGAACCACTCAGGTGATAAAAAGGCTTGCTGAGTGTTCCAAGTTGAATGGTTGATGGCTGAAGGATAAAACACAAAAGGTCCACATGAAGACAGACCCAGCTCTGTGCATATGCAACAGGTACAGAGTGTTCCTAACATCTCCATGTTCTGGGGTCCTTCTCTGCATCAAGACAGTCAGATACTTGCATTAACAAAGGAGTGAAAATTTAAGACTCCTGCAAGACAGTATTTCTTCTGAAAGAAGCCAGTACACACTGGGTTGCCACACTGCCCATGAAAGAGAGAGATTTCTCATATCTTCTCTAGAAGGAATAAGGAGGAACAGAGCAGGGATCACTGAAGACAGTTTGAGAAGACGTTCAGGCCACATGGTTTTAACCAAGCACCACTCACTCAGATTGTGATTGTCCTTCTTCTGGCGTTCCTTCGCCAATGCACGGTTCTCTGCATCTAGAGACAAAAGACCAAGCTGTCAAGCAAAGCAGTGGGTCAAGAGAAACAAGAGTGCTGTTGCACATGTGCATATATGCTCACGTGCGCACATGAAAGCAGACTTCCCAGTGGCCTACAACCTGAGTCAAAGCTGGGGCTGGATACAGCCCCAACAAATCAACTCAGGCATGGATCCAAGGATCATAAGCCCTGCCAAGTTACCCGTGAGCTCTCTCTTCTGCGTCAGATCGGCCGGGCAGGAGCTGCTGGTCATGCCCACCACAGAGGGTGTCATCTGAAGATCGCTGCTATACACATTCATGTGGCTGCTGGACAATGGCAGCTGGAAAACAAAGGAAAGGAACAAAACACTTTTTTAAAAATTGCATAGGAATAACATACAACAGAAGGAAGGGGCAAAGAAATAGGATTCCAGCCAGATGCAAATTATCATAGTAAAATCACAGTACTGTAGAGTTGGGAAAAACCACGAGGGTCATCTAGTCCAACCCCCTGCAGTGAAGGAATCGTTTGCCCAACGTGGGGCTCAAACCCATGACACTGAGATCAAGAGCCTCACGCTCTACTGACTGAGCTCCTGGTTACAAAGTGGGGGGTGCCCTCCAGATGTTGTCGGACCACAGCCATCATCACTGCCCATGACCACTTTGAGATTTCTTGAAATATAAAGTGGTATACAGGTTAAATAAATAAATTTGCCACGCTGGCTGGGACCTGGGAGTCCAACAACTTCTAGAGGGCATCGTTCTGGTGTCTTCTGATGTAGAGACAGCCAGCTTCATCCCAGTGATGTGAATCCAAGAAAACTATATTGACTGCCAGGGTTTAAAGAACATTAGAGACTCCACAGCTGCTAATGTTTTAGCAGGGTATGCTACTGTTCAAACTAGCATCCCAATAGGCCCACAGCATGGACACAGTGCAGCTTATTTCCCCCCCATTAGGATAGTTTTCATAGCTTGACCACCATTCATCCAGGAGATGATGATCTTGTAGCTTTCCTTCCTCCATCATTCCCTCCCTTTCTGACAATAAGAAGCAAAAACCCAGAGATACTCACAGTATTTGGCATATGAATTTCTGGATTAATGCACCCCACAGTAGTTGTCAGCTGCATTATGTCTTCAATGACATCATCTATCTGGAAGGAAAAGTAGCCTTTGAGATATAAGAACCATTTCCTCTATCCTGTCAATACTGACTTTTTCACTAAAAATAAATAAATGCATCCATGTACAAAGACATGAGAAATACAACTGCAGATTTAAGTGAGTCTTACAAAGGTTTGCTTCTTTCATGTGTTCCTACGGCACCTCCTACCAAAAAAGAATGAAGATGGAAGTTCCCCAACAGTCACCATGTTCCTTTATTATAGTCCCTACAGTGATACAAAAACTTCCATTTTGTCCCTTTTCTAAAACTTGAAGCTGCAAAACTAGAAGAATACAACTATATAATGCAACTATATAGCAGAACCTTCTCAATTCAGTTTGCAGAAAGAGGTGGTGGTTGCAAGCTTGAATTCTCCCCCGCAACAAATGCTCCTACTTCCTATAATACTTCCTACTGTACAGTCTCAGGAAAAGTGCAACTGGATTCAGAATTATCTCCCAACCCTCCCAAAAGACCCACCGTTCCCCAGGAATAGAAGCCACTCACTCACCTCCCTTTCTGGGTTGGAGCCAATGTTGAGCATTGCCATTGGGCTGTTGGGAGTACTGTTGCCGGCAGAGGAGGGCATGACATGGGTCGGCCTCACGCCAGGCGAGACAGAAGGAGGAGGCTTAGGAGACGGAGCACTGAGCAGTGGAGCAAACTTGTTCCCATAGGTTTCAGACAGAAATTCTTGGACCTTCTTGTCTCGTGACCGTTGCAGGTGGTATGTGGTAGGGTTCTCCAGGAAGGACTGAACCTGAAAGTGTCCAGGGAAAAGGAGAGGAAAGACGCAGAAGCAGAGGGCTGTCATATAAAAAGTAGCAGGAGATTTCAACTGAGCAGCTCTTCGGGAACAAACATGCTTTATTTTCTTTTATAGTATTGAATCCACACGACTATGGCTTGCCTGAACCCCTCCGTCCTCATTTTGAATCGTAACCATACTCAAAACTGTGTGTGATTGCAATTGTTCACATTTTCCTCTACCTCTGTCTATCCTTTTTTGAACCCCTCACAATCTCTCTTTTTTTAACCACACTGAACAATTTGGCATCGTCAGCAAACTTTACCTCACTGCTGAGCCCTAACTCTCTAGATCATCAGTGAACAAGTTCAACAGCACAGGTCCCAAAATACTGATTCTTCTAGGACTCACTTTCTACAACCCTCCATTGGGAGATGTATTTCCACAGGCTGTGGCTCAACCAGCTCATCCTAAGATTTAAGCAGACAGGCTGGTCTGCATAGATTCAGGTCTTCTTGAGTTGTTCAGGGCTTTATATGTCAACAACAGAATCTTAAAACTGGCCCAGTAGCAAATGGGCAGCAGAGGTTTCACAGGACTGCAATAGGCTGCTCCCATTAGCAACCTAACAACCACATTTTGTACAAGCTGCCCAACGTAGAGCACACTACAATAGCCCAGTTACCTGCACGGGGATCACTATGGCCGAGCTATCCCTGTCCATTACTTGTTGATTTGCAAACGCAAGACATCCATCTATGCAATTTCCATAGCATAAATAGTGCCTCCATTTGGCTTCCCAGCTAGGCATTGCCAAGACTTTTATTTACTCGAGCTGTACCTTTAAGACTTCTCCTGGCACAGACGGTGGTGACTGGAAATGAACTGGTGTGTTGATGGCAGGGGTTGGAGCCATTGGCATCTGCTGCTGTTGCTGCATGTAATGCATCATTGCCTGCTGCTGCATGCGCTCCCGCTGCTCCTCTTGCTGGACTTGCTCTCGCATGAGCTGCATCCGCAAGCCAATTCGCGACGCCATGGCGGGTATTTTGGATCTATCAGCGTTTTCCACGGGACACTTAAAATCCTGAGAAGGAAAGTGGAAGGATTTAGGCACAAGCATTTAGCATCAAAAGAAGGCTATAAAATGTGGCCTTTGCCCTTATAGCAGAAATATGGCCATGGACTGTGAAATATGCTTCTGAATTTTACCAAGACTGAAAGTTGCTTAGCATAAGTGATTCTAATAGGTACAGCAGCAGCAAAACTCTTGGCTCGACTGTGTTAATGGACTTGAGCTTAGTGTGGACACTCTATGACCCCACGGTTGCTTTATGTATCTTTTCTAACATCTTTTGTCATCTATGCGAAGCTGACCAGAACCAAATACGTAATTCTTTTTTCACTGAACTTCCCCAAATATCAAGTATAATGGCAAAAGCTAGGCAAGATAAGTGTTGCATGAGCTGAACTGCTATGTCAATTCAGAGTTTCTTGCAGGAGCTCAGATCATTACAAGATGTTTTTCTAGATCCTAGTTGCACATGAACTACAATCAGAAACTACAAAACGAGAGCAGAACAATAACATATTTTAAGTATAACAACATGAAGCACATTACTGTGTTTTGGGTTGTTGTTTTTTTGTTTTGCTTTTTACATGCACATTTGAATGAATGCTTATATTCTATAAGTATTCTAATTTTATGGATTTTAGATGTTCAGGGTGGGGGGGAATACATTCATGTGACTCTTGGTCTAATTTCACAAGGGTAGGACAAGCTCATATGGACAGAAAAACACATTTAGGCTCTATATCAGACATAATTGCAAACAGTGACTATACAGTAGTACCTCAGGTTACATACGCTTCAGGTTGCAGACTCCGCTAACCCAGAAATAGTACATCGGGTTAAGAACTTTGCTTCAGAATGAGAACAGAAATCGGCGTGGCGGCAGCGGGAGGCCCCATTAGCTAAAGTGGTGCTTCAGGTTAAGAACAGTTTCAGGTTAAGAACGGATCTCTGGAACGAATTAAGTACTTAAGCCGAGGTACCACTGTAATGTGTTTGTTCCATTAGATGAAGAGGAGCAGGTGGTCATGTTTCTTTGGCTGTACTGGTGTCTCTCCTTCCCTCAATTTATATGATTCTTGGTGCCCCCCCAAAACCCCCCACAAATATTTCTTATTTTCACAATAGTTCCTTTTGTTACAGTCCCATTTTTATGGATCTTCTCAGTAGGCACCCACTGCATGTCTACTCAGGAGGCTTGTCCACATTCCACTTGCCTTAACCCTTTCCTCCTGGGGAAATCCACTCTTTACTGCTGAATCAGAGCAAGCTGTGGGGCAAACAGAAAACTGCTTGGACCTGTGCTTTCCAGGCATTAGCCCAGAGTTAAGTCCAGCTGATTTCAATGGGACCTTCGCCTAGTAAAAAGAATACAGGTTTGCAGTGCCGGTTCAATAACAGCCACACAACTGCTCTTCCAAGATGCATGTTAACAACCTAAACAAGAAATCACAGGCTCTCCTGAAGTCAGGAACAAACTTTCCAGATCACCAGTGCTTTTCAAAGACTGGACTTGGTTCTTTGATGGCAAGTTAAATGGTTTACTTTAATTTCTTCTTCTTCTTAAATTTATATAGCCATCTATCAATAAATAGCTTACAAGCAAAACAATGCTAAAAACAAAACACCATATCATAATTAAAATCAACAACAAGAAAAACAGCAGCCTCCCCACCAAACAACTTTCATTAAAGCAAAGACAACGTAACATAGCCCTCATTTAAAATGTCTGAATAAGCTATAGCTATCTTTCATGAATTCTTGCTCTCCTTTCAAAAAACACAACCACAAAAACTGCTAACAAAATGGTGTTCCCAGTGTTGGCCTCCTCATTCACTCACTTAAAAAATAATAAGTTTAACATCAAAGTGAGTTAATGATCCCCTTTCCTTCTACATTAATCTTTGCCCTGTAATGACCCGGAAAATGGAAACCCACTGCCCTCATTCAGATTTCTTATCATCTCCGGTCAGGTGACAAGAAGTGTATATTAAACTTTGCTGAATGAAGGCAGAGGTGGTTCCCCGAGTCCCTGGACTCCAAACATGAGAGACAGATGGAATTCAAGAGAGATAAGGGCCTTGTTTGCTCTGGCATGAGGATGAAATATGGTTCAGAGTATCACTGCTTAGAGAACTGCAGTCCTGCGACTTCTTCCCATGTTAGGGATAATAGCCCCAGCCTATACCAGGATCACGAAAAGATGCTCAGGCTGCAAATAAAGAAAAACACCATAGATAAAACTGTACTGATTAGATGCAACCAATTTACTGGAATATTTTGCTAGAGAAGTAAGGGATTAAGCACATTTTGATCAGCTAAGAAGAATAATAATACAAGCACTTAGGAGAGGGCAAACACTTGTTTGCTACTACCCAGAAGGCAGGACTAGATTTAAGAGGCTTAAGTTTATTGAGGATAGAGTTCAATTGAGCAGCAAGGGAATTTCAACAATGGAACCTAGAGGGATTACCTAGAGGGATGGTGGCCTCTCTCTTGTCCACTGCCTCCCACCTGCCAAAAATTCCATCACTCTCCCATCCAGCAAACTTGTCTCATATTCCAGTGGTCTCCAATATAGGTAGTAATTCTGACTGTCAAACCAGGACCATTTCAGGGGTAAATCAGTTCTATTGAACAAAGCCCAGTGTTATGATGTCCATAGTACAGGTAGGAAGCAGAGACGGGAAAACCGTGGCTTGGCCAAGGTTCACAGCAAATTGATGACTGGGGTGACATTTGAATATCATTCTTAAATTGTGGCATCTAGAACTGGACACTATATTCCAGGTGTGGTCTGACCAATGCTACACTGGAAAAAAAATGCATCTTTGAGATTATTTCCTGGAATAAGCAGCTGGTTTATCAGACATGCAGGGTGCTTTTGATGGGTAATAAATAAATAAATAAATTCATTTAGGTTTAACCCATCCTATGCCTTACTTAGGCTTAGGGAAGCAAGTAACCATATGTAAGCTCTTATAGTGAATATGCTTTCAGAGCAATTTTGCATGGCCTCCTCAGCACTTCAGAGGAAGAATCCAGCTGCTTTTTCAGATTCCTAAATATGTAAGCAGGAGTTTACACCCTGCTGGTTAAGCTTTTGTCCTCAAAGCGCCTCAGCTCTTTTACTAGCTGCCTTCTTCAGTCAGGGAGTGTGAAGAGCTAACAGGCCCTATCTGGGCATAGATAAAGTGATCATATTCCTTCTTGCTGTCATAACACAGGCAGTACATAACAACTGGCACACGATGGTTAGCTTATTCATAGACTACAGGCACTCTGGCTCAGAAATCAGCTTAACCTCAAACAAACTGAAACAAGAACATTCCTTACACCATAGGAATATATGTTCCAACTTGTGTGATAAGTCTCCCAAATTCATACTGGGGAAACTCTCCCAGGATCCTCCTTATGACCTCTCTAGCTTTTTCATTCTCTTCAGTATAGCACCCAGTATCTCTCGAAATACAGTGGACACTCGGGTTGCGAACGTGATCCGTGTGGGATGCACGTTTGCAACCCGTGTCTGTGCATGCACAGGTTGTGATTCTGCACATGCCGAAACCCAGAAGTAACCCGTTCCGGTACTTCCGGGTTTCAGCAGTCCGCAACCCGAAAAAACGCAACCCGAAGCAGCTGTAACCTGAGGTATAACTGTAATTGGGACAGACAAATGAGCCAAACACCATCTGAAAGAGAACATCTCAATACATTTCAGCCTTAAAATTAATACAGAATGCACTGATTCACTTAGGTTGAACCTATCCTATGTTCTAGGCTTGGGGAAAGTAACAACCATTTGCGTGTGTAAGATCTCAAGGTAAATATGCTTTCATCGCCAGCTTCAAGTCAATGCACAATGCATACAATTTTCTATGGTGCCACTTTTATGCATAAAACATGTAGATGACACATTATGCACATTCTGGTGCATAACCCCTGATCCCTCATACCCCTGCTTGACCACCAAGGCCATTGGGAGAGTCACTGTTTGTGGTCCTCCATGGCTTGGCTCATATCCACAAGCAGCTGTGTGTTCAGTATTGTGGGCACAATGTTGTGCAACTCCTTTCCAGTTGAAGTAAGAGAGGCACTTACTGAAGACTTAAAATAAAATTTAAAAGCCCTGCAAACTTTTTAATTGAATCCTGACATTACCGCATGGGTGGACTAGATGATCCTTGGGATCCCTTCCAACTCTTTCATTTACAGGTTTAACTCATTTTTAATACTATTGTATGAGGTCTCCTATACACTGCATAGAGACAGCTATGATGAAGCAGTAAACAATTGCTAAAATGAATTGCTTTCAATAAATTACTAAACGCAAAACAAAGTGTTGTTTCTCCTTAGTACTCCATCAGCGGATTCTAAGCACACAAGACCTGCGGTCAGAGAAATGCAACCCCGTTCCACACTCCCTGTCCGAGTTATGTGAGGTTGGTGTGTTGTGATAGGGTGCTGAGATTATGGTATAGATTGCTGTACAGTGGTACCTCTGGTTATGTACTTAATTCATTCTGGAGGTCTGTTCTTAACCTGAAACTGTTCTTAACCTGAAGCACCACTTTAGTTAATGGGGCCTCCCACTGCCGCTGCGCCGCTGCTGCACGATTTCTGTTCTCATCCTGAAGCAAAGTTCTTAATCCGAGGTAATATTTCTGGGTTAGCGGAGTCTGTAACCTGAAGTGTATGTAACCTGACGCGCATGTAACCTGAGGTACCACTGTACTTCATGCGCTCTCCTGGTGAAGTGGCCTGAGAGATTATTGCTACAGGGGGAGGTACCAGGTACTGGCAGGGCTTTGAGGAGTGTGTGGCAAAGGCAGCCCCCCCCCCCCAAGGATGATACAGGCAAAGGGGGCAGTGATTTATGGGGTTCTGTGCCACCCATGAGGCAGCAGCCAGGGCTGGAGGAAGGGAGAGAGTTTTAGTAGTTGGAGATGGGGGAGAAGGTGCAGGAA